TTACTGTTGGGAAAAGAAAAAAAAAATATATATATATACAGTCAAAAGTCTAATCCGGAATGGTCTATAATCCGGATCTCAAAGCTACAAACTTTCTGCGCATGCGTCAACGCATAATGCGTTAACACATGCGCATATACGTCGACGCATGCTCATAACACGTTTACGCAAGCGCGTTTCATGTACAACGGATGGTATAAGCTAAAATTATCTAATTATCTAATTCAGTTAATGTTGCAGATTGCATTGTTCCTTAATCTTCGAATTGGATCCAGCTTATTATTTTTTGCAGCCTGTTAGAGCAATTTTATAAAAGTAAGCTTGAACTTTCGATTATGTCAAAAAGAATTTCCAATTCTGGAGCTGCCGAAGGATCTACAAAGCGAAGGCGTGTTTTGATGTCCATCAAACAAAAAGTGGAATTGCTGCAAAAAATGGATAAAGGCATATCCTTTGTTTCTCTAACCATTCCGAAATCTGTTTATCAATTTCACGTGGCTCTGGGGGAGGGGGGGGGACGACGCGGTGCGCAATGAACTGGAAGTTGATCTGTCAGCACTATCCTTATCTTCAGGGCAGATGTTTTTATTTTATTCAGCTTATAATTCCTTACTAAATGTAGTATTTCATCTCGATGTACTCCGTCTTTGATATGATTTAAATGAAATTCCTCGTCATTATAAATATCACGAATACACATTTAATAGTTTTCTGGTTGCAATTTTCTAATGTCGACTATGTGTAATGTATGCTTTATGCATGTGCGCATTGAAAGAAATGTTTAATAAAGTAAACAAATACATATTAAACTTTTTTTTTGTAAATTTTGATACCCTTTAGATCATAATTGCTCTTTATTTCATAAATTGCGGTTTCATATTTTTAATTTTATAATTTCTGCATGCCATCTTACCAGATTTAAACTGATGATCTATAATTCGGAAAAACCGATAATCCGGAATCGCCGAAGTCCGGATTAAAGACTTTTAACTGTATAAAGCACAGACCACATTCTTCCTAAAGAATTGTTAAATGAATTATAATAGTTCTTTTAGAAATCTGGTCAGGGATCTTCACCACATGTAACAATTTTTCAGTGTTTTCGTTTTTTCTGTTCATCAGTGGATGACCATGTCACGACAGTCTTCATTTTACATATTGCCATTTTTGAAATGGAAAAACTAGTTGTACAAAATTTCATGTACATTCTGTTCTTTGTAGTCAAACAGCAAAAAAATGAAAGGAAAATCTGCTGTAGTCAGATTGAAGCCACTTGGCAAATAGGCATAGGAAGCCCTTAACTCATAATTACAGAATGCTTGCTTGTAGTGTTTTCATTCTGAATATTTTTGCATACTCTCTATATGTATGTGTATTATACATATTACTAAATTTCATTATGTGAACAATTCATCACTAGAAGCCAAAATTCCAATCCAAGTACCCATCAGAATTGATTGCAAAACAAGATATCCATTTAAAAACAGTTTGATTGCAATATCCAAAGGATATTTTTAAAATTTTATCATTTAAATAAGTTTTCTGATAGTGAAACTGTCTCAGTAAACTTTGTGTTCCTGCTGTTTATATTTCATATATTTTTTATTTATTAAGCACTTTTAGGCTGGCATGAAACATGCTGAATTTTTTAAAAGTACCTTTACATAATTATCACTGCTTAATTTTATGAGAAAACACAATCTGTGAAATGGTGAAATCACATGGTACAGTATTATAACACATGGAATTTTTTTTTTAAATAAAAATCTGCCTTTCTAAGTTTTATAGTTCTAAAAGTATATTATCACTAAATAAAAAATAAAAATTTCGGAGTTTAAATGGAAAAATAAAAGATTTTAATCACTTCTTAATTTATACTGGTAAAATGCCCTTCTGAAATATGTACTTTCAGTTAATCAACACCTGCAATTTAAACATTTGGTTAAAACTGCCAAATTTTTAATATGTATATGACAACAGTCAAATCCTATATGTACATACCATGCATGTGTTTCAATACACATGGATTTGCACACTCTATGTGTAACCTTCATTTTGCTAAACGGTATCTACAGCTGTAGAATTGTAAATTTCGGCTTTATGAATTTTCGTTTTTCTCAAAAATTTACTTTCCTACAAAATACTACTGCTTTTTGTTACTGTTTGTAAACAGAAGACTATCTATGAGCAGTGAAGGTAGCAAAATGTTTTCCACGAATGAGTTGATGACTTTTAATCAAGGTGCAAGTAATCAGAAAGCATCTCTTTAAATTATGCACATGTTGGAGTTAATAATAATAATGGCTTTAATTAAATAAAAGATTTTTAAATGCATTTCGAATGTTACAGTTTCTGAATTAGAATATTGTTACGAATTTGGTATTTAAACAGCTGATGTTAGTAGACTTTTAAATTAAATTGTTTTATTTCCCGTGTAGTGCAGCGCATGACGAGTATTAAAGGAAAGCTAAGTTGGAAAATTAAAAATACAAGAGCATGTGCATTTAACATTTAATAAATAAATATATCTTTTTGATTTCGAGAAAGGGCTAGAAAATTCTCGCGCATTAAAAAAAAAAAAAAAAGCCTATATAAGGGGCAAGAAAACCTTTCAATTAGTAGTTGTTATTGTAGTTAGTTTGTTGTTGTTTTAAGAGTTTGTTTAGAAGACCACTCTTGTTGACTGTAGCGAATTCGTGGATTAGCTTTCTTTAGCTGTTTTGAATTAAGTTCTCTTGAACGTTTGAGTAGTTAAAAGATAACTACTGTGAGATATTGTAATACTGTAAGAATATCTGAGAAAATTTGAGTATTTTGTTTTATTTATTTGTGATAATAATAAATCTTATTCATTTTTCATCGCACTTTTGCATTCAATTCATAACGAACCCGTACGCATGCAACAATATGATTTAAGAATACTTTTTCTATAGAAAAAGTTAATATGCTACATTAAAATTATACTTTTTTATTCTATTTTATTTGTTATTAAAATTATACTTTTTTATATACTAAGTTTCTGTATTTACACCTGAGATAATCTGGGAATTAAGCTATTTATTGTTTTTAATTAGATTTAAGTAAATTTTATGTAATGACTTAGTATGTATATAAAATTGTGTAATGTTTCATATGTACAGTCATGTGCAAAAGTTTAAAACCATTAGACATTTTCCTGTATTTTAACAAATAGCACCATTTTCGCTCGTGATTGCATTATCTCACGCATTGATTGCATCAAACGCTTTCTACTGCTATAAATATAATGTGGTCTCGTTTATCAGTAGTTCGTTACTAGATTTTGCATACACAGTGCTGTTGTATAATTCTTGTAATGGGTAAAAAAACCTTCACTTACTGTTAAAAAATGGGAAAAAATAGCTGCCCTGCATGAAGTTGGCTTTTTTGAATGTGAAATAAGTTTGAAGGTAAATACCAGCAAGACAGGCATGCATCAATCTATCAGTAAATTCAAAATTTCGGGAAATTATACAGATCTTAAGAGAAGCGGTCGTCCAAGAAAAATTTGCGTACGTGATGATCGTGTGATAAGGATGATCACTTGATGTCCAACAACCCCCTGCAATAAAATTAGAGCTGTTCTGCCTGCAAAGGGTACTAACGTCAGTTCAATTACTATTTCAAGACATTTGACTAAAGATTATGGTTTATTTTCCTATAAACATGCTTGGAAACCTTGACTTACTCAAAGTATGAAAAAGGAAGGATTGACTTTCACCAGACAATATCAGAATTGGACCGAACAACAGTGAACTACAGTGTTATTTTCTAATGAGTCAAGTGTGCAGCAATTTTCTGCACATGCTAAATGTATTGGCTGCCCATTTGGAAAAAGATATGATGAGAGATATACGACTTCGGTCAAACACCCTCCAAGCCAGATGATATGGGTTGCAATGTCTGTGTTTGGTACTGCTGCTAACATAAAGCCACAATGAACAGCAGTTGGTACCTTAATTTCTTACGTGACAAGTTGAAGCTTCACTTGGATGTTCACAGAAGTTCAATTTTCATGCATGATGGGGCTCCCGTGTCACAGAGCAAGGAATGTTAAGAACTATCTGAGGGCTACTCAAATCCAAGTGCTTGATTGGCCAGGTAACAGCCCAGATTTGAATTTCATAGAGAATCTGTGGTGTATTGTAAAAAATAAAGTCACGGAGAAGCTACCATCCATTGCTACAGAACTTGTTGAAAAATATAAGGCATGTGTGGTGTACAGAGATTTCTCAAGCTTACTGCCAGTCTCTTGTTTATAGCATGCCTAAAAGGATTGCGACAGTGATAAAAAATAAAGAAGGTCTGACAAAATACTGACTACACTTCAATAACCTTGCAAGTCTATTTTTTCATTTATAACATGCTTTTGTTGCGAAATTCCAATAAATCTGATTTTTCCATGTGTGGTCTTAAACTTTTGCACACGACAGTACTTGCCTTTATGCATATATTACTGAATACAATAAAAATATTTAATTTTTTTTATTAGAGAAGACGATGAAATTATAAAATACACATCTACATAAACTTGAGCTTGATCATATATGTACACATAAAATGTATGATAAATATTACTTTTATGTGTATATAAAAAAATGAAAGACTTAAAACATCTTGAATAAAAAATATCATAAAGCTATATCTTTTGAAAGATATGTGAATATTCTAACAAAATTTACATGCATAATGTTCATTATGCATGTTTTATGATCTTTATAACAATCATAAAAATAAATATCTAGCATTCAATTTTTAAATTATTGTCACAACATAATTATAATTTATCATTTGTCAGGAGTCTGTTAATTTTAACTGTGAAATATTATCTAGAAGTACATCATCATCCCTTGATGAAATTTCAGACTGATCTCTTGAGTGAATGTTACGATTACAGTCATCAATTTTTTGTGTAAGGATATCTATTTCAGTTCTTAAATGCTCATCACCATTCATTACAATGTCATGATCTTCTTTTTCAGGAGGTGTGTTGGGCCTGCTGAGTGAAAATAATGGAGTCCTGTGTAGAAACTCATCTGAATCATCATTACTTACTTTTAAACCTTCCAACACCTGTTCAAGAAGTGACTGTAGTTTATCCTAAATAAAGTAAAGTAACATAATTTGCAAATTATTGTAAAAAAATGCATTTTAATGACAGTGCTTGTGTTTATAAATACACTGATGGGGGGATGCCAACACCAAGGAAAATTTATTGTAGAGAAATGAAATTTGGAAAATGCATTTGTCTAGCTAATATGTTTAATTGATTAAATTTTCAAGATCACAGGTTAATTTAAACTAAAAAAAATGCGTTTGAAATGTGAAATGCCGTTATATTAATAGCCGGTGTAACTTTCAGAATTTTGAATGCAAGCTTGCAAATGTGCATGCATTGTATCATTCAGGTGTCAAATTTAACTTTGTGGCATGGAGTTCCATGCTTGTTGTACTTGTTCTGTAAATACTGGCTGTGGATGATGGTTGTCGTCCAATGATATCCCATATGTGCTCAACTGGCGACAGATCTAGTGATCTCGCAGGCCAAAGTAACATGTCGACAGTGGTACGAGGGCGAGCATTATCCTGTTGGGAAAACTCCCCCTTGAATGCTGTTTATAAATGGCAGTACTACAGGTTAAATTACCAGACTGACATACAAATCTGCAGTCAGTGTGTGTGGGATAACCACGAGAGTACTTCTGCTGTCATAGGAAATTGCTCTCCAGACCATGACTCCAGGTGTAGGACAAGTGTGTCTAGGCTGCTGACAGTTAGGTTGCAGGCACTTCCCTGGCCTCCTGACCAACACACGGCTGTCACTAGCACCAAGGTAGAACCTGCTTTCATCAGAAAACACAACAGATCTTCATTCCACACAACTGAAGTTTGACACAACTGAAGTTGCAAACAGCAATGGCTTGGAGTCAGTGGAATGCATGCCACAGGGCGCCTGGCTCGGAGCTGTCTTTGAACTAACGGATTTGAAACAATTCGTTGTGTCACTGTGGTACCAACTGCAGCTCGTATCTCTGCTGCAGATGCAGTACAATGTGCCACAGCCGTACACCGAATACGGTGGCTTTGCCTCTCAGGAGTTACACCTGGCTGCCTGGAATGCAATCTTCTTGACCACTGCTCCCAACAATCATGCACAGTGGATACATTCTGGCCAAGTCTTTCTGCAGTCTTGCGGAGAGAAAATTCACCTTCTTGTAGCCCTGTTACATGACCTCGTTCAAACTCGGTGAGCTGTTGATAAGGGCTTCTTTGTCTTAAAGGCATTCTTGGCTAACATCAACTCAATACGTCAAATTTCAGAGATAAATAATGCTCATGATCTTTACAGCACACATTTGAAGCAAACCTGATTTCCAAGTTCTAGCACCACACCTATGCATGAAGTGCGAAATTTGAATTCCCATCAGTGTATATATAAATATAGAGATTCTCCAACAATGATTTTCTCTCTAAATTATGGCATTATTTCCATGTAAGTGTTAGAGAGATATACATAATATTCAGTTTATACAATAGATAGCATTGTTGTACATTTTCAATAAAACATGGTTCGTAATCTATGGAATACTATATAAATAATCCAATAGCTAATATTTTAATATATTATCATTATAGTTTGTAAAAATAAACTTTTGTTGAGTTTAGTGTCAAAATAAACTTTTGTTGAATTTAGCATGTTTTGAAGACGGACTTACTAGCAATTATGTTATCTATTTTCTGTGAAAGGAAATACTGGATTTCAAAAAATAAAAAATCTTTGTAATATGCACACATTAGTGCAATTATGAACAAACAGTTTAAAAAGCTTCATGATAGAGATTTCTCTAACTGCAAACATTCTGGCAAGTCTACTAGGATTGGTAATAGCTTGATTAATATTCAGAGTACGAGAAATTAATCCACAATATATCACACAGCAACTTAAAATGGCTTTTCTCCAACATTTCATTTTGCAGTATTAAATTTATATTTGTGGAAACCTGATATAACAAATTTTCAGATGAAATAAAATCGTTGAAAAAAGGTTCCTGTGAAGAAGATAAATGCAGCAAAATTCTCACAGTGGAGATATGTTTTAAATATTTTTGTTAATTATAATTGAGTTTAAATGAAATAAATATAGCTATACAAGATTCCAAATGGTTTTTATAAATTTTATTTAAAATATTTGGTGCTTAAATATTGTTGCAACCACTTCGTTGAAGAGACCAAACTGTGATAATCATGCATATAACAATTCTTCAGTTTTGAGAAACATCACAATTTCCATACACATTCTTTTTATTGTAGCCCAATTTTTTTTGGGGGGGGGCCTTAAGCTCTATGTTTAAAATATGTACTTGTGGGATTTGCTTTGGTGAAAGAAACTTTAGTAATATTCTGCAGGAATACAGTATTTTGCCACAAAATTGCTAAAGGGAGCAACTATTATAAAATTGAACAACAAAAGAAAAAACAAACCAACTTAGTAAAAGAAAATTTATTGATTGATTATTGGGATTAATACCTAATTAAAATTTAATATGTATATGTAATATATATATATATTCAAATTTTAAATCATCATTCTTTTTTATTTTTTTTGGTTAAAAAACTGCCAAACTCCATTTAAGGTGGATGTTCTAATATGTAAGTAATAGATACCTTTCTGAATGCATAGCAGTCTCTAACATATCTGTCTTAGATTTACAAACATGCCCTTTTTTTAAATGTAAGAACTGAAAACATACTAGCTGCAAAAATTAAGATAAGAAGAACATATTTTCACATGCATTGTCATAAAACAGTGCTCCAAACTGATAGAAGAAAGGATAGCACAATAATGAGATGTAAAACTACATTAATCTGTATCATAGACCAAAAGACTGAATTTTTGTGAACAACTTCCTTTAAAAGGCAATGCAACAGATCTTCAAAAGTGAGCTTTCAGCACAATACTGCAAAACACAAAAAAAATCTGTATAATAAGCAGCAGGTAAGAAAAATGTAGTTCTCAGCTAGTGATATGATCATGTTTGACAGCAATATGGGATGTGCATCATCTGTTCATGCTCGGTATGAGGCATCAGCACGTTCTTGAGGCACCATAGCCCATTTCTCTTATACAGCTAATCAGAGCTGCAGTATCATTGCTGGCAACATTTTGTTGGGCATCTGCTAAAAATGTCTGGCATGTATTTGGCTTGATTTACATACGAGGAATGCGCATGCCAATCCTGTGCACCAAATATCTTCTTTGTGATAGCTAAGCTACAGCCACTGTACAATGACGCGTAGCACCAACATCCATGAAAAGCAATAATAATCCAGAAAAGATATGCATAAGGAACAATGTCAGCAAAATATCTGTCACTAGTGACTGAACCACCTCGAAAGATATGAAACTTCCATATTGCCACCATTCCCTCCATTTTTAAACTAGCATATTTCTGCAAATCTAGAGAGGTGATTACATGTTTCATGCTTTCAACAGATGTTTAGACATCCAGAATTGCTAATGAGACTCAATCAGTTTTCATCTGTGAAAAGAACTTCCCCTTGTTTGGCCCCTTGCCCTTGTGTTTCAGGTATTAAAAAACGTAAACCATTTATGCAAATCTGCTGACCGAGGTAAAATACATTAACAGATGTCTAATACAGTCAAAAGTCTTTAATCCAGACTCTTCGGGACTTCGGCGATTCCGGATTATAGATCATCAATTTAAATCTGGTAAGATGGCATGCAGAAATTATAAAATTAAAAATATCAAACCGTAATTTGTAAAATAATGAGCAATTATGATCTAAAGGGTATCAAAAAAAAAAAAAAAGCTTAATATTTATTTGTTTACTTTATTACACATTTCTTTCAACGCGCGCATGCGTAAAGCATACATTATGCATAGCCGAAGTTAGAAAATTGCAACCAGAAAACTATTTGATTTGTATTCGTGATATTTATAATGACGAGGGATTTGATTTAAATCATATCAAAGACGGAGTACATCGAGATGAAATACTACACTTAGTAAGGAATTATAAGCCGAATAAAATAAAAAACATCTGGCCCTGAAGATAACGAATAGTGCTGACAGATCAACTTCCAGTTTATTGCTGCGTCGCGACGCTTCCCCCTCCCCCCGCGCATAGCAGCGTGAAATTGATAAACAGATTTTGGAACGGTTAGATAAACAAAGGATATGCCTTTATCCATTTTTTGGAGCAATTCTACTTTTTCTTTGATGGACATCGAAACATACTTTCGTTTTGTAGATCCTTTGGGAGCTCCAGCATCGGAAATTCTTTTCGACATAATCGAAAGTTCAAGCTTACTTTTATAAAATTGCTCTTACAGTCTGCAAAAATAATAAGCCGGATCCAATTCAAAGATTAAGGAACAACGCAATCATCAACATTAACTGAAATAGATAATTAGATAATTTTAGCCTATACCGTATGTTATACATTAAACGCGCACACATAAACGCCTATGCGCATGCGCAGAAAGTTTTTAGCTTTGAGGTCCGGATTATGGGTGTCCGAATTAACGACTTTTGACTGTAGTGTGTTGAATGTATCTTGATAATACGAGGGCCATCCAGGAAGTAGATTACGTTTCCGTCTGTGTCCGCTAGGGGCGGGGCTAGCGCGGCCATCTTGGGGTCAGAGCGTTGCGCAGCTCAGTCTGCATCTAGCCGTGCTAGTGAGAGGTTCGTGCTGTGCTTCGTTCAGATACTGTGACGGTTTGAAATGTCTGCGTTAATTGAAAATCCTGCGAGGTGCGCTCAGTAATAAGGTTTCTGACTGCAAAAAACTGTAAACCGATAGAAATCTATCGGCAGCTTCGTGAAGTGTATGGGGACAAACATTATCACTGAAGGTGGAGTGCGTCAGTGGGTCATAAGATTTCAAAATGGCCGAACCAATGTTCACGACGAAGATCGAAGTGGAAGACCCAGCATAGTGACCGCCGAACTTCTCGAAAAAGTCGATGCTAAAGTCCGTGAAAATCGAAATTTCACAATAACGGAACTTTCTTTGAGTTTTCCACAAATTTCGCGAAGTTTGTTGCACGAAATCATCAGCGAAAAGCTTGGTTACCACAAGTTTTGTGCAAGATGGAAGACAAGA